TTTCGGCCGAAAACGTGCACGTTTGCACTTCCCCGCCAGAGAGAAGCTGTTAGCCGGGAATTCTCTTGCTGGTTGTGACCGCTGCCCGGAACGCTATGCAGGGCAACAGCGATTCTCGCCGGACGTGAGGGGAGACTCGGCGTGAGGCCTGTAGGGCAGGGCGGGGGCTGCCCTGAGCCCCAAGACCGCCTCGGAGCCGGGCCTGCGCTGAGGGGCTGGGATGGAAACCTCCTCCCCGTCCTGCACGGTCTGCACCGCAAGGAATGAAAACAGCGGTGTTACGACGAGGGTACCACAAATTACAGCGGGACGCCCGGCGCAGGGCCGGTGGTCATAGCTGGTGGTGGCAAAAGGCTTGTTCTGATGCCCTGCCAGTGACAGACTTGTTGTGCGATGCTTTACCAAAGAGCAAGTCCAGTTTAAGCTCTAATGCTTTGCTGTATGGCCTATGAGAAGTAGCTGAATTACTTACACACAAACACTGTTTGTTTTTTCAGATGCTAAAAGAATTAATTATACATGATTGGTGACATCATAGAAACTAAACAATGCCAACTAAAAGATCCCATGGATTTATTTCATTCAGGGCAAGTTGTAAAAATATGTGCCCCTATGGTCCGCTATTCAAAGTAAGTAGCTGTCATGTCAATTATATTTTCAGTGTATTTTCTCTGAGGAAGTTTATCTTGACTGTAAAACCAGGGATGATTACCTTTTTTCTCCTTTATTTAAGATGGAGATAGACATGGAACATGTTTTATCTTATGATTATACTTTTACGTGCCAAAAGTACTGCATGTCAGAACAGCATTTTAGAATAGCTAATCAGAAAAATGACTTTACTGTTTATCTCTTAATTTTCATGTGTCTGCAGGTTGGCTTTCAGAACCTTGGTTAGGAAATACAGTTGTGATTTGTGCTACACACCAATGATAGTGGCAGCTGATTTTGTGAGATCTGCAAAAGCAAGAGACAGTGAATTCACAACAGACAAAGGTATTTTTTTTAAATAAACCGTTGTCTTGTTAGAATGTTTTATGTGGTGATAAACCAGATTGGCCAAGTGAATGAAGTCTGTCACACAACTTGACCTCTGTTATAACAGTTTTGTTATGTCTGATTGATTGTAAAACCATAGAAATATTTGAGGTGAGAGTAAGCACATTCCAGTAATAGTGTATCAAATGAAGTAGTGGAAAACCTTGTCTCCACCTGAAATCACAGCCTCCAAACTGATTCAGATGTGTGGTAGATTGACCACACATAGCTGGCCAGGGGCTATGTAGCCACACAGCTACTCACTCATTCCTTCTCCAGTCTGCCAGCAGTACAGGGAGAGAATGGGAAGAGCAAAACCAAGAAAAACTCATGGGTCAAGATAAAGACAGCTTAATAAGCGAAGGAAAGAAGGTGAAAAAAAACAAGCGATGCAAAAATCACTTCCCACCTCATACCAGCAGACCAATGCCCAGCCTGTCTCCAAGCGCTGGCCACCCTGGAACACAATTTCCATGTCCTAACCCACTTTCTCCTTCCCCTACCACTCGCAGTTTTTTTCATGAGCTTGATGTTATAGTATGGAATATGCCTTGGGCCAGTTTGGGTCAGCTCTCCCAGCTGTGTCCGCTCCCAATTTCTTTGCTTGGGGCAGGCGGAGGCAGAGAGAGAAAAAGAGAAAATTTTGACACTGTACAGCAATAGCCAAAACATCAACAAACATTATCAGTACTGTTTTAACTCCATCCCAGACAGATCCAGTACAAGATGGTAGTAAGATTCTTTTCCCAGCAACTACTGTCTCTTGTGTGTTTCAGAGATGAACACTCATTGCCAAGAAGAATTTTCTAGTCCCTAACAAAAATAAGAAGGTTGCTGAATGCGAAAAAAAAAATAGACCAGACATTAATATGGTGGAATCAAAGACTGATATTGAGGTAGGGTTTCAAATTAGCTGGAGTGGAAAGGGCTGTTCATGGTCTCCTTGAGATACTGAGAGTGTAATAAAAAAGAGCAAGAAGAGACCGGGAAGTTGAAGCTTGGCTAGGGTTGGTGGGGAGAAGCAAGGCTTTAGGCATGGTGTAGAAACATAACCAGAACACATACAAAAAGGAGGGGTGTAAGTAGTTGTACAGAGTCCTAGCTGTAAAGCAAAAAAGTGGTATGAAATATGTGGGAAGAGGTGACAGTAACGATACAGATCTGCTGGCATGAAGTGGCTGCAGTAGAAGAGTGTAGCAAGGAACATACAAGCATAGGCTGCAACTGGAGGAATGAAGAGAGCGCTGCTAACGTGCTAGTAAGATTAGTGTGTAGGATCTGTGAAGTGTGGTGATTTAATCTATTCAGACCACAGAATTGGTTGTTTCATAAGTGAATATATAATAGCAGGGGAAGTATATTTCATTATTTTAGCACTGGCTGTTTACTGTGGTGCATTATTCAAACAGAACAGCAGTGACAGGGAAATGTCACATTGGGAAGCACAGGTAGACTCTTATTAGTGGAATTCAACTTTTAAAAAAGCATGAATAATTCTTTGTGTGTAAAAATAAATGAGTAAGAACATAACTGACAATATATATGGCTCAGAGGTCCACAGAGCCACTAGTTTGTTCCCTTTCAACTTACTTACACTTCTGATCTACGCAATGTCCTATGGTCAGATATGTAGTATATTCTGGAGTGTGCAGAGATGAGGAAAGAGGAAACTCTCCTTCATGCTGTAACTTTGCTGCTTGATAACAAGGGGTACAAAAAGAAATGTTCTAGGATTGCTAACAATATCTTTTCCCTATTCACCTCTTTCATGCTGGCCTTAATTTTATAGACCTCTAAAACATTCTGCTGCAGACACCTTTGCCAATATTACAGTATTTACTTTATTAGCATTTATGCTTTTAACAAGTAGCTCCACAACAGGTTGTGAAATTTTACTGTGGTTTTATGTTTAACTTCTTGGCTGTTTGGGGATTTTGTCTTCTAACTAGGAGAGTAGGTTTGGAGCCTACAGTTGCAATTTCTGGTTTCCATCTTCTTTTGACTTGCGGAATCACAACTCCACAACCTATAAGGTTGTACTGTAGGTATGTTTATTCACCAGTGAGGCACACAGGGGATCTCTCCACCACAAGCGTGCGTGCCCACCATGGTAATTTGTCTTGGCTTTATACAGCAAAGTGTTATATATTCATGATAGTTTTAAAAAAACCTATACATATTCATAATCTTTCCACGAAAAGGCGGGTTCTAAGAAGTCATTTCCATATGCTCCGCCCTGGTCTCCTCCTAGTTGTGCCAGCGCAGTGTTTCCTGGTGGTCATGGGCAGTGTGTCTCAGAGATGAAGTAACTCCTCTGCCTCGCTGTTGAACTGTTCACCTCTGTCTCTTGCCTCCAAACCACAAAGCCAGTTCAGCCGATTTAAGTTGCTTTGGGCAGCAAGTCTTTGGTCTTATCAGGAACTTCTCTGTAACAGACCCCCTTGACTTAAATGACTTAAAATATGTTGTTTCAGCTAAACAATTGCTATCCTGTTAGTGTTAGTTCCTTAAGTGTTAGTTCCCTTTACCACTTTGGCATTGACATTTCTTTGTTGTATATTTCTAAAATAGAAGTAGGTCTTCTTTGTGGCTACTGCTAAAAAAATATAATATGGCTGGACTCAGTATTTTCATTACTTAATGCTCAACCAAAAATTAGGACTGTGGGATTATTCCAAAGTATTAGCTGTAGTAATATAAATCTCTGGCTAGACCGTCTTAAATGGACGCTGTTTTGAAAATATGCAAGGGATTTTTTTTCCTTGCTGGAGTTTTACATAACTTCTTGAAGTGTCTCAACTTGATTGAGAGGGTACTGCTGCCCTCTCTGATTTAGGCTCCGCAACTTCAAGACGTTATTTTCCACTAAAATAGAAAAACCTTCAGAAGCAGTTGTGGTCTTTTCAGTACCAGAAGTGCATTTGCTTTGTGCATTTTTTGGATGGTCTCTTTCCATCAGTGCTCAGATATCCCCCTTCCTCTTAACTGCAGAAATTGTTTATATGGAAAGTGAGTGCTAAGACCGAGATATTTTTAGATGCCTTTAATGTAATGCAGTAGATGTAAAAGAGGAGAGCATGTTCCAAATGACCATCTGGCTCTCTGCAGGGGCTTAGTAAATCACAAGTAGTTCAACAGACCCAAGTTGAGGAGCAGTGACACTTTGTTTTCCCACTTGAGACAAAGCTGCTAAAGCTGCCTCTGCCCGTGTGTTCTCATTCCAACCCTGCATATTGCATTGTGGATAAAAACCAGCCATGTTGGCACAGAAGAGGAAAAAGATGGGCTGGGGTAAAGGAGGGCAAAGCTTGTGGGTTGTTTAGCTCCTTTCTGAAAGGTTGGTTCTGTAAGCAAGTTTCCTACTTGGCAAGACAGACAGCCATGTCAGCACAGCAAAGGGGCAGCATGCCGCCAAGAAGGGGCAGGCTGGGAGAGGAAGCATGAAGGCTGCTGAAAAATAGAGAATACTTAGTTTTGTATATCATCTTTGTGAAAGAGAAGCATCTGACCAATTTCAGTCAGAAAAAGTGTATGTTGAGCCAACAACCATCTAGGACACATATGTATGTATGAATTCCCTCCTCTCTTGATAGACATATTCATTTAGTAACCACTGGTCAGCTACCTTTTTTTTTGTTATCTAGAGCTCGCAGAAATACAAGATAGTTGAGTGGGAGGACCACTGTAGGTTGTGTTATCCAGCCCACCTGCTCAAGCAGGGTCACCTAGAGCCAGTTGTCCAGGACCATGGCCAGACAGCTTTTCAATATAACAAAAACATTCAAAATTTAGAACTTTTTAAAAATCTCTGTATATCTTTTCATTGGAGTAGGTGATCATCCATTGATTGTTCAGTTTGCTGCTAAAGAAGCACAGGTTTTGTGTGATGCTGCCCGTATTGTCTGCCCTTTTGCAGATGGAATAGACCTGAACTGTGGCTGTCCTCAGAGGTGAGGTTTTGAAAAAGCTTATTAAATAATTTGAGAACAAAGAATGCTGTTTTTCATGTTAATTTCTATCCTAACTTTAAAATAGACTTCAAGAGAGAAACAGCTTTTTAACCTCTCAGAAATGTCTGTGTGGCAGGACACTGTTCTGCATGTTCTGAGATGCCTGTCACCATGGTGAGACAGACAAAACCAGGTGTATTTGCCAGCTTGCCTTTTTTCAGGCAAGATATTGAGTTGGCTCAGAAGTGAAATGTCCATCCCTTTTCAACAGCAGTTAAATATGCATTACCACTAAGATCTTACTGCAAATAATTTGGAGAATGTTTTCAGAAATGATGTAGCAATTCCCAGAATAACCAGACAAGTCCCTCATGTCTCAGACTTCTGCAAGTGAAGGATAGTCTCTAAAATATAATTATACAGATTATATTATTCAGGAAGTGCTGAAAATAATTTATTCCATCTTTTATTAAGTTCATAAGTACAGTGAATTAGTGATCTGACATAAATTGATAAGGATCTTGACACTGAAACAGAGTAATAATGCAAAAATGAAGATTCTTGCTAACTGTACATGTTTGTCAGGCAGTCTTTTTCTAACCTCAAAAGTAAATGTAGGAAAGCAAAAGGTAATACTATGGTGCAAATACTTAATTTGTCTGTTCTAATTAGGTTGTCTTGACTTAAAATTATAGTACCTGAGAAAACTCTTCCCAGAGAGATCTGAGACTTGAAAATGGAAGTTGTTTTTTTTTTCTAAGCTAACTACAGTTGCATATACCAAACTGTAACTTCCTTTTAGGCCAAAAATACATGCTTACATTTGAATTCTTTGTTTCTTGTGCATTCTGGCTTCAGAACAACAAAACTTTGTGCACTTAATCTGCCTTTATAAGAAAAGTTATTTAAGAAAAAACCTGCCGCTGTTAAGTGGAAACAAAGGTTATTTCCTGCCAATCAAAGTAGTGTTTTGCAGTTGAGGGAAAATGGAAAATTACTGGGGGGGGGGGGGGGGGGA